AGACTGGGATTTGAATGAAACTCATGAATTATCTCAATTAGATACGTTGTTAAATGACCTGCCATTATGTGTGAGCTACATGTACAAAGTGAAGACACTAAACAGAGAAAGCCTGAGTCCACATGTTTCAGTGAACCCAGAGAGCAGACTGTACACTGGGTCATCACAGTGAAATCAGGAGGCAGGAATGTACAATGGAGAAAAGACAATCTCTCTAACAAGTGGTCCTGGGAAAACTGGTCAATGACTTGTAAAAAAATAAAACTAGAGCACTTTCTAACACCATACACAAAAATAAACTCAAAATGGATTAAAGATCTAAATGTAAGACCAGAAACTATAAAACTCCTAGAGGAGAACATAGGCAAAACACTCTCCGACATAAATCACAGCAGGATCCTCTATGACCCACATCCCAGAATTTTAGAAATAAAAGCAAAAATAAACAAATGGGACCTAATGAAACTTAAAAGCTTTTGCACAACAAAGGAAACTATAAGCAAGGTGAAAAGACAGCCCTCAGATTGGGAGAAAATAATAGCAAACGAAGCAACAGACAAAGGATTAATCTCAAAAATATACAAGCAACTCCTCCAGCTCAACTCCAGAAAAATAAATGACCCAATCAAAAAATGGGCCAAAGAACTCAACAGACATTTCTCCAAGGAAGACATACAGATGGCTAACAAACACATGAAAAGATGCTCAACATCACTCATTATCAGAGAAATGCAAATCAAAACCACAATGAGGTACCATTACACGCCAGTCAGGATGGCTGCTATCCAAAAGTCTACAAGCAATAAATGCTGGAGAGGGTGTGGAGAAAAGGGAACCCTCTTACACTGTTGGTGGGAATGCAAATTAGTACAGCCACTATGGAAAACAGTGTGGAGATTTCTTAAAAAGCTGGAAATAGAACTGCCATATGACCCAGCAATCCCACTTCTGGGCATACACACCGAGGAAACCAGATCTGAAAGAGACACGTGCACCCCAATGTTCATCGCAGCACTGTTTATAATAGCCAGGACATGGAAGCAACCTAGATGTCCATCAGCAGATGAATGGATAAGAAAGCTGTGGTACATATACACAATGGAATATTACTCAGCCATTAAAAAGAATACATTTGAATCAGTTCTAATGAGGTGGATGAAACTGGAGCCTATTATACAGAGTGAAGTAATCCAGAAAGAAAAACACCAGTACAGTATACTGACGCATATATATGGAATTTAGAAAGATGGTAACGATAACCCTGTATGCGAGACAGCAAAAGAGACAAGTTGTATAGAACAGTCTTTTGTACTCTATGGGAGGTGGCGAGGGTGGGATGGTTGGGGAGAATGGCACTGAAACATGTATATTATCATATATGAAACGAATCGCCAGTCCAGGTTCAAGGCATGATACGGGGTGCTCGGGGCTGGTGCACTGGGATGACCCAGAGGGATGGGATGGGGACACATGTACACCTGTGGCAGATTCATGTCAATGTATGGCAAAACCAATACAATATTGTAAAGTAATTAGCCTCCAAAAATAAATAAATAAATAAATGAAAATAAAGAGGATGTGGTGCATTAAAAAAAATAATTTTGAAGTCAGTACCTTAAATCATCTTTTAAATGGTTCATTCATTGCAGAATGGGCTTCCCGGGTGGCACCAATGGTAAAGATCCATGTCCGATCCCTCGATTGGGAAGATCCTCTGGAGAAGGAAATGGCTACCCACTCCAGTATTCTTGTCTGGAGAATCCCATGGACAGAGGAGTCTGGTGGGCTACAGTCCATGGGGTCGCAAAGAGTTGGACATGACCTAGCAACTTTCACTTTGACTGCAGAATAATTACATATTTAATGTCATTTCACCCGTATGTATTTTAAGACCTCGATTATTCGTTTTTCAGTACTGATTAGCACCAAAGGACTGATGCTAGCATAGCCATTTGCCACAAGCATCTGGACACACATACGCACAGAGTTGATATTCCACAACATTCTTGAGAACCAAGAGACAGTTATGTCCAAAAAGTACATGACCACAAAGAAACTCATGAGCAACAGAATGGTCTGGGTGGCCCTTTCTTCCGGGGATGCTTTTGGAGAAAGCTTGGTGCTGTGAAGATGCTGAGTCTGCCTCTTATGCCTGTACAAGAGTGTCACCATGTATCCACTTGAGAGGGCCATGAGCCCCAACAAGCAGACGTCTTGTAAGGTCCTCAGTACAAACTGCACATACCTAAGGAAGTGAATCATGGGGCGAAGTGAGCAGGATTCAGTGACATGTAGAAGATGGGCTGAGGTCACATTGGGGGTGGCAACAGTGGACACTAAGAAGTAACCACTAATGAACATGTTGAAGACCCACAGGAAGAGAATGCAATACAGGTTGTGATGGGATGATTGAAGTTTGAACTTTGCCAAACAGGAGTTTCTGGGGCTGAGGGTGATGGCCTGGAGGACACTCAGCAGGCAGGTGGTACAAATGGAGAGGCCCCTCATCAAACTGTACAGGTAGACAACCAATTTACATTTGATGTCATCCCAAGTTTTCTGAGACCCAAAGGTGTCTGTAGCCATAAATGCCACGGTTAGTAGCATGACTATGTGGATTAGGGCCAAGTGACCAATGGTCAGGTCAGTGGACTTGGGTCTGTGCTCAAGAAGGAAGTTGTGGGCATGGAAGAGAAGAAGGATGGTGTTGGCCAAGATCCCAATGGCAACTTCAGAGAAAAAGGCATTTCTTATGTCAGTGAAACTGGAAAGTCTATTTTTATTCATCTTTGTGGAGGAAAATAAGCACGTAGTAAATACCTGTGGAGAAACTCAAGAAAAACTCTTCTTCACAAATATGATCAGTATCAACCCCCTCAGCTGGCACTCTTGCCACCATCTGAATGGGTGGGTTGGACTCCCCTGGTGGTCCACTGGCTAAGGCTCTGAGCTCCCAATGCAGAGGGCCCGGGTTCCATCCCTGGTCAGGGAACTAGATCCCACATGCCATAATTAAGAGTTTGCATGCCGTAACCAAGACCAGGTGCAGCTACATAAATTAATGAATATTAAAAATAAGTAGGTGGGTTGATCCAAATTTATACTTTACCACTAATCAGTGCACAAGACTGCGTCACTTACCCTCTGCCCAAATACCACCCCCAATATTTCTCTAGTCTCACTACTTCCCAGGCTTCACTGGTTTGTGTATCTCATTGCTGTACTTGCATAGTACCTGAGATTTCCTCTATAGTAAAAAATGGTTTGCCTTTTATCTGCAGAAACGTGATATAATGCTACATATATAAAAAGAGCTCTGTCATTTTTGTTGAATTAGAATGAGGAGAAATGCCTACAGGTGGACATCAGGTCCTCTTAAACAAAGGGTGTTAACTAGATCACGATGCACAGAGTTGTTTTATCTCAGTTCTATCTTTCCACTAGTTTATTGATTGTCAGACCAAATATACAAAGACTAAATGTTGAGAGGCATGGTCCCTGAAGAGGCAGCTTGAAATAAAATGTGTGATTGGACATTGAGCACAAGTGTGACTCCAAGCAGCCACTTTATGTCTGATCCTCAATTATTTATCTCTTGTGTAGAACATGGTAAACCACATTACCTCTATGCTAGAGATATTATGAGAATAAGCAGATGAAGCATGCCAACTGGAGAAGAGTGTGTGATGTGTAAGAGTCTCTATAGAAATGTTAGATACTGTTTTTAGTATTATGTAGTTCCTCATACATGTGACTTGGGAGAGTTGGCACAGTTCTCTTAATAATTCCTAAGCTCTGCTCCTGCCTCAGGGGAGAGGGGGAATCACTACCAAAACTGTGGACCATTTAAAAAATATCTGTTCATAGGGCCCTGATGGAGTGTTGCTCTTTTCTTGGAATCCTCAAAGATAACTTCACATCCTACATATATTTCATTATCTAACCTGAAAACACTACTTTATGACTCTTTGAGTTGTCAATCATTAGCAGGAACAGATTTCTTTTCTCTCCATCCTTTGACTTGTGGTACCAGGGTGAGTAAAATATAACAGTTTAAATAGATTCTGGGTTGTTTTCTTTGCAGGTTTTAATTAGAAATCTGGTGTTCACCCCAACCTGAAGGAGGTTTCTTTGGCTTCAATACAGGAGTTCAAGCATGCAGGTGTCCTTTAAGCAAGCAGTGCTATCTCGCTAGTCAGGAGGACCAAGCATACAGTTTATACTCAAGAATTTGGTGATAGCCTACAGGGATATTTTATCTGTGCAATGCAAGTATTTAATTTAAGTCAAGCCTTATAAATATGAGGTACATAGCATCATAAAATGGCTTTAGACATTTTCACAGATCTGTTACCTGTACATCAGGAGTATGGGGCTGTAATATTTTCACGGGTACTTAGCAAGAAGCTCTCTGATGTTTACTTGCTCTGGACGTGCTGTGCTGTGCTTAGTCGCTCAGTCGTGTCCAGCTCTTTGCAACTCTGTGGGCTGTTCTCCACCAGGCTCCACTGTCCGTGGGACTCTCTAGGCAAGAGCACTGGAGTGCGTTGTCATTCCCTTCTCCAGGGCATCTTCCTGACCCAGGGATCGAACCCAGGTATCCCGTGTTGCCGGCAGATTTTTTACCAGCTGAGCCACCAGGGAAGCTCATGAATACTGGAGTGGGTAGCCTGTCCCTTCCCCTGGGGATCTTCCTGACCCAGGGATTGAATTGGAGTCTCCTGCATGCCAGGCAAATTCTTTACCGGTTGAGCTACCAGGGAAGCCCCAAATTATCTCTAGGTTACTTATAATACTTAAAACAATGTAAATGCTATGTAACTAGTTGCCAGCATGTGGCAAATTCAAGTGTTGCTTTTTGGAATTTTCTGGAGTTACAAAAAGTATTTGCCACCCTGGTTGGTTGAATCTGTGGATATGAAACCCACACATACAGAGGACTGACTGCATTATGAAGATATGTAGCCATTTCTGTGCTAACATAGTGTTTTTTTTTTTAGAAAACATCCTGGAGGATTTGAATATTTCATAGACACAGGATAAAAGAAGAGAAGAAAGGACGTGCACTTTTTCATCTGCAACAGGATCATAATAATCCACACTTATTAGGGTGGAGATGATGTGTAAATAATATGTTTAATGTCAGCACTTAGGAATTGGCCTGAGACATGTGAAAGAGCGTGTATATTTTGGTTTATCATTATTTTATAAGTCAGCTTCATCTTTGTTATTACATTTGTTATCCACAAATCAAGCTAAAATGGTCCAAAGGCATTTATAAGATGCAGCTGATTATGTACCATTCTAGTGGGTTTGGGGCTGCGGGTATATTGGGTATATTCTCTACCTTGAGAGTATATTCTCTACCTTGAAGCACAACTGTTGCTGGAAAACTGCAAAGAGAACTGTAGAGAACCAGCTAGCCCTCTCAGGAAAGCCCAAGCATCAGCTAGATGTCAGTGCGGTGTGCAGAGCATCTGTGACATTTATAAACCCCAGAATGAGGAAGAAAAACCTGGGGAGTATGTGAGTTGATGGATGGCAGCTATTTCTCAGAAAACATGGGCGAGAATGATCTATTGATTTTCCTAAGTGAAAGGATTGTGAAGTCCAATCTCAGGTGTTCACTTGAACCGCAGTATTTATAGTGTAAATATTTTTTATCTATTATGAGAAGAGTAATTATTTTTCCAATTAAAGGAACATTAAAACTCCAGAGGCACTACATGTCACAAATATTAAGTTCTCAAACCTCAGGAATACAAAGAGTCCTGTGTAAGACTTGGTTTCCCTAATCAACCAATGGCAAAATAAGAGCAGAAAGTCTTTCTTGCTAAACTGCTTTCACTTTCATCTATCATCACAATCTTGGTATTTTAGTAGGGAAGGAGATTTAGTAGAAGGGAGATTGGTTCACATTTATCTGTTTACTATAAATGTATGATAAGATACAGTTTGAAAAGTAAAATGTAGTTCCCACCACAGGTAAAAAATATTTCTGTAAATATTTACGGTGATGCATGTTAACTAGACTTACTATGGTGATCATTTTACAACATATACAAATATAAATTACTAATATAGTGTGTGTCAATTATGCCTCAATTGAAAAATCACAAAGAAAAGAAAAAGAAAATGTAAAACCCAAGCATAGAGATAAGGGTTATAATTTTCTTCCTAATGAAATTTGTTCTGGCATATCCATTACCAATGGAAATCTTTTAATGAATATGAAATAATATATGGATTAAAGATAAACAAATGGATCCAAATAGTCTTTCTCCTTACAAGTTTCTGGAAGATAATATCCTTAGACAAACATAGGAAATCTCTATCATCATCATCACTTTATTTTCTTAATTTTTAATATAATTGCAGCCTCGCTTTCACTGTTCTGTGATTTGAAGTTTTCTAGCTGCTAAAACATAGGTTTAAGTGCTGACACCATTGACATCTGTGGTATTAAAACCAAGACAAAAAAAGTATTCATGAAAAAATACTGTAAATATTTTATAGTTATGCAAGGTTAAAGTCTCTTTATGAAACAATTTTTTGAACAAAGAACCAACTTTCCTCATAAGGAATCTAAATTTTAAAGATTATACCAACTACAGAAGACACAATAAATAGTTTTAGTTGCTTCTAGAAGAGAATTAAACTGAGTATGTTTAATTAAAAACCAGAGCTAAAATTTACCCTTTCATGATGAGTATAAATATGAATTAGTAAAATTTCAGTCTAAAATTAGCAGATAATATAATATGTAACTTGAGAACTGATACAGTTAACAAGTGAAAGTCATTTTATTCAGAAAAATTGAATGGGTACCTAAAATTAACTGACTAGTCATTTGAGAATCAAGTAATTTTTATGAGTCATCAAATTAAATGATAAGTATATTTAGAATGTTCATATTGCCTTGTAGACAAAGCAGTCCTCTGAATTGTGGTAGATGGCTAGCTGGATGCCTAAACTGAGGCTACCAAAAAGCCTCACTGTAGACCTGATTTCCTCCTTCCATGCCCTGTCTAGATCCTACCCACGCACCAAATCTAAGTGTGTGGAATAAAGAGGCACTTACCCAGATGCGTGTGGGGTGATCTGTGTATGTGAGAAGGACCCGCACAGTTTTAAGGCAAGGATGTCATTACCTCATCTCTCTGCAGGCCTGTAATTTTAGTGTCTGTAGAAATGTGACAAGATCTGGCTGGGGACAACAGAACCATCGTGTCCCCAGTGGAACGTTTTACTTGTCCCTTGACTTGATTCTCTCTTGGAAAATAACAAGCTGGGAAGATTTGAGCTCAAAACTTTTCCACCCATTCCCTTGCCACATCTGCGTGGAGGGGCGAAAGATCACAGAACCAAGTTCTCTCATTTTCATCCTGAGATCAAATTAGTGTTATCTCACTCCAGACTTTGTAATGTCACTCTCGGGGGTGAGAGGTTTCTGGTGCCTCACATGAGTTCACAGTGGCTCTGTGTGTGCTGTCCCCACAAGGTCTGATGGGCACCTTCTTCCTGGGGTTGATTCTCAGGAGGGCACATGGTTTCTGGGTGTTATTGTCCTTTTATTCCATGATTCCTATTCTATCAGTTTCATACTGGAATAGTTGCTAAGTTGTGTCCAACTTTTGTGACCCCATGAACTGTAGTCCACCAGGCTCCTCTGTCCATGGGAATTCTTCAGGCAAGAATATGAAGTGAGTAGTTGTTTCCTTCTCCAGGAGATCTTCCCAACCCAGGGATCACACTTGGGTCTCCTGCATTGCAGGCGAATTCTTTACCAACTGAAACACCAGGGAAGCCTAGTTTCAGATTAAATAAGATTTAAAGGATCCCTATGGCCATAGGTGAAGGCAGCAGAAACCCTTTGGAGCCAATTTCTTTTCATTTTCCACGATTTCCTAAATTAGCCCCAAAATGTGATATAAAGACCCATCCCCTGTATGTTAATGGCCCTTTCTGAGATGGAATACACATTCTGAAAAGATTTGGGAACCCTTTGCATTCTGTGACCAAGGCACTGAGAAACCCAGCTCCTGATTCTTCTGGAGCAACAAGTGAGAACTATATTGTTATCATCCAGTGTGGAGCTGTCAGTACATTTTCTGGCAGTAGAAGTACCGCAGAATTCAGTGGCACAGTTTGTAAAAGCAAAAATTCCACACAGTTGGATCTTGAGTGACTCTTAGCTTTTCTTTTTCAATTAAATTCATTAGGAAGGGAACCAGAAAAAAAGACCAGTTTCTGCCCATTCAAAGAAGTTAAAAAAGAAAATTAAAATGCTCAGGAAAAAAATTACTATGTACCTACAGATGGTAAAGAGTCTGCCTGCGATGCAGGAGACCCGGGTTCTATCCCTGCATCGGGAAGGCCCCTGGAGAAGGAAATGGCAGCCACTCTTGTAGTCTTGCCTGGAAACCTCATGGATGGAGGAGCCTGGCAGGCCACAGTCCATGGGGTCGAAAAGAGTTGGACACGACTGAAGGACTTCACTCTCACTTTACCTAGACTAAGTACATACCGCTGATATTTGATAAACTGAGTCTTCATAATAAAGGACCATAAAACCACCTGTCTTTCAGCACTGTGTGGACTAACACAGACCATGACCTGTGAGGTCCACCACTTAGGTCTGCACTTGCTGTCTGTGTTCAGAAATGTAGAAACTTCATCTGTGGTTGCTAGTCAGACACACTGAACAACAAGGGGAGACCATGAACGGGAGTGGGAGTGGTGACCACACATGCAGAACCAGTAGGTTCTCTCCCCCAACCGTGTCAACCAGATGCCACACAGCAGACATGCCAGTCAGCTGCCTTGGGCTTTTTCTTGTGCACTGTCTGTAAGGAAGTAATTAAAATCATGAGAAGCCTACTTTTTGCTTATTTTCCAAAGTTTGAGCAAAAAAAAAAAAAATCTTGTCTCACTTTTTGACATTAACCAAGACAATTCCAAAGATCTGACCTGGAAATGAAAAAAATCATTCTCAGTTTTTTCTTTATTATTCTTGCATTCCAGTGTTGATGTTATTTTAACAATTTATTATAGAAGATTTAAAATGTAAAACCTGCAGAATAATTCAGTGAGCGCTCATTAACAGCTTTGATAGTTATGCTCTTTCTGTCATTTGCATCTTCATCCACTGCCCACCATCCCAATATTCATCACCACTTTACAGTTCATTTTCAGTTCAGTTCAATTCAGTCGCTCAGTTGTGTCTGACTCTTTGTGACCCCATGAACTGCAGCACACCAGGCCTCTCTGTCCGTCACCAACTCCCAGAGTTCACCCAAACCCATGTCCATTGTGTCAGTGATGCAATCCAACCATCTCATGCTCTGTTGTCCCCTTCTCCTGCCCTCAATCTTTCCCAGCATCAGGGTCTTTTCCAATGAGTCAGCTCTTTGCATCAGGTGGCCAAAGTATTGGAATTTCAGCTTTAGCAATCAGTCCCTCCAATGAATAGTCAGGACTGATTTCCTTTAGGATGCACTGGTTGTATCTCCTTGCAATCCAAGGGACTCTCAGGAGTCTTCTCCAACACCACAATTCAAAAGCATCAATTCTTCGGAGCTCAGCTTTCTTTTAGTCCAACTCTCACATCCATACATGACCACTGGAAAAACCATAGCCTTGACTAGACTGACCTTTGTTGGCAAAGTAATGTCTCTGCTTTTGAATATGCTGTCTAGGTTGGTCATAACATTCCTTCCAAGGAGTAAGCGTCTTTTAATTTTATGGCT